ATGGCGAATAGCTTCGCGTAATAGCTGGGGTTAGATAGTATATTGGTAGCTCTCCCGCTACAACAGCAGCAGCACAAAGCAAGCTCTTCATGAAAAATACGTCGTTGGACCCCGTCGCTACTACACTCTCCAATGCGTCTATTTTTTTCCACCGACGGGGGAGGTTGATGACGCCAATGCCCGATGTAGTCATGACATATTTTTATGCTTCTAGATCGTGCTTCCAGGCGAACGCCTACAAAAAAGATCTGAGTTCGGGGTTGGCAGGAAAATAGACTAAGGGAGAGAATGGTCGTTTTTGAGATCTTTTTTTAACGCTCTTCCTTTTTTTCTTTCTCAGCGGAAGGGAAGAAGCGAAAAAAACATCTTCTTGAAACGACCTTCAGTTCAGAAACGTTAAAAGCGCTTCTCTAGTCGAAATGCACTTGCAAATACAATCTATGTCGACGCATGCCCATCCCGCCAGGCACGCACGCACGCACAGCTGCTACTACCACCACTACTACTATGATGATGACGACCACTGCACGCAGATGTGTTCTCGATGGCTCAACAGACTGGAGACATTACGTTCACTTAGTATTCGACTAGAGGTAGCGAAGGTAAACTATATTTACTGATAGAAATATGAAGCACTGGAGTTGCGATCAAGAAGAACTGATATAAAGAAACAGTCATAAAATTGTCGATGAGTATCAAACGTATTTCATAGAATATGGTGCAACTATTCATAACAGTATGAACTTTATCGCTGTGTCATATTTTATTTACCCTAATATATAGTAATGTTTATATATTTATTAACGAAACAACATTAATGGACAAATTTAGAAATGGATAGCGTTCTGCCAACAACTATAACTACTGCCATCAAACAATATACGTAAAAACTAAACAGTATACTAGCATTCCTGCTCTATGCTACACAGTATAGTATACTAGAAAAAAGACAAATTTACCCTGTTTGGTTTAATGTCGCACAGTGACTGGACAAACGAGGGGTAAATTGCCAACCGTAGTAAAATTAGCGAATACAACTTCATTGAAACAACAATCGCATCTTTTTTTTTTCTGCACAGCAAATGAATTACGCCAACGCGGCGGAAGCGGATATTAACACTGGCAGGTCACGGGCAGTAGCAATGGAGATAGGCCAACCAACTAGTCGTTCGCGATTTCCGCTATTGAAGCATTGTATACACAGTTGCCTTTCTGGTCGACCTGTATATATAGTATACTATAAAAAGCTAGTCTGTATACGGTAGAAGTTGGGTTAACATATCGGTCTGTAAAAATTTACTCGTTGGCGAAAAATCTCGATGTGAACATCTATACTTATAGTTTGAATGATGATGATTGAAAGTCGCTGATTTTTGACTCAATTTTTGGTATCGCTCGAACTGTTTATAGCACGATTGCAGATAAAAGTTGAATAGCTTTAAGTGTAGCACAGAACGCTACCAATCTTAGAACTAACAGATTTTCAACAGACATTAGAAATGCTTTGTTAGACAGTATATAACGTATAAAAGTAAGACGCCCAAAAACGCTATGTGAGAAAAAGGGAGTAACTACAAAGCCAACCAGCGTAGATTGAAAGTTATAAAAGTGATCAAAAATGACTTGAACAGACAAAAAGACAGGATGTACTATTGGCGGAACATAAAAGAAAAATTCGTTAGATGCGACGACAAAATAATAATGAAGGTTGATCACAATCTGAAGAAAAAAAGCAGGAGGGGCTCGGAAGGAGATTATGGATAATAGCTAAAATTTTAAAAAATCTAGAGAAAATTAATGGATACATGTGCCAAACGAGCATGCTGTACATATGGTCACGAGATAAATTGACCATTAAGAGGTGTTCTGGGACGTTCGAAGATCATGCTAATAGTAGGTCGTTTTAAAGATTTCGATATTTTTTATCGAGCTTTTGCTGCAAATCTACGAGAACTCACTACAGCATAGTTGTTTTGCGTAAATGTTTAACAAATGTATGTTACAAATAAAAACAGTGCGAAATGTAACAAAGCTATTCATTTATCGGCAAGACTCTCATCTACACACACATGAGTTATAGATTAAACTTTTGTCGAGTGCTGCCGTTGCCAGTTCAGCTTTTTGCTTCCTTTGCTAAGGGCGGGTTTGACAAACATCCCGTTCGAACAAACCTTAATGGTAGACTTAAAAAGGTCTACGTTCTCTGTTTGCAAAAGTTGATATAGACTAATGGCGCAGCTTGTTACTTTAGGCTTATAGTTAACAACAATAATCCCTAACTGTGTTTACCGCACTTTCACTATGGCCGAATTTGGTAGATCCTTTCGATTAGCGTAAAATCAAATTTTTATTTGGAAGTGACTATTAAACGTTAGTATTTTCAGAGAGAGGTTTTAAAGAACTAGGATAAAATTTGACATATTTTTTTTTAAAGTTTAAGAAAATGTGAGTTCTTTGACGACTTCTCATAACAATAATGGCTATATACTCCATATCTAGTAGAAATCGTTGTACTATAGATTGCATGTGAGGATAACAAAAAAATTAATTAGGGAAAACAGTTTTTTTTTGCGAAAAAGGTTTTTTCATAAGGTGAGATTAGACACAATATTCAATGTACGGTTCTATTGCCTTTCGAATCAGAAAACACTGGTCTTACATAGAATTTCACATAAACCCTGAAATAGACCCATATGATGAGTCAAGCTCGAAGCAGTATTCTGCACCGTCTTTACACTGTGCCAATGATTTAACGCTGTTACAGTAAAATCAGTAAGGTGAGTTTAGTCTTTACGATCATTATGATCTTAAACCATATATGAAATGATTGATTTTAAAACATTTGAAATGAACAAAAACAAGTTGAACTTAAATAGGTAACAGTTCTAAACGAAACAAAAGTACCTTCAAGTGCGTTCGAAGGCTATAAAGAAATCGGACTTTTTTTTTCGATTAATCTTTTTAGCTAATCCTGTACAATATTTTTCTGTGTTACCTTCCATGTGAAGGCACATCTGCCTTGGTTTTGGTTGAATTCCGGAAAAATAAGTGATAAATGTTGATGACTTTTTTACAAGTCGGTACGAGACTATTCCCTATTTGGTTTCCCCCGATACGC